ATATATAAATAAACTTTTTTTTTTTTCTGAGATTTTCTTAAATTAATTTCTTAACCCATTTGTAAATTCTATTAAGTATATTATTAAAATGAGAGGATAGGAACACAGTTTGCCATTAAGCTAAAAATAAGAAACTTCGTTCAAAACTTCATTTTCGCATGAAAGAGCATTTAAAGAGCATTTAACGTCGCATTTTAGTCTAATGCCTCTATTAATTTTAAAAGGGCCAATCAAACCCCCATTAACTTTAAGCACATTCTCAATGTCCTGCTAAAATATCTTGAACATGGCAATGAAAGTTGGGCTGAACCCAAATCCTGCTACCCGCTAGCACAGATGAATGCACTCAACCTGGTCAAGATAAACCCAAAACCGTCAAAACCCAATGGTTTAGAAACATTCCAAAACATTTCTGAGTTCGATAAATATTGTTTAAAACAGACCTGGCCTGCACATAATAGGACTAATCATGATGAATGGGCCTCCAGATCACGTTCCCAGCTTTGTAGAGCGAATCTTGGAGAGAAATAGGTCACCATTTTTTGTTCTTTGTTAGTATGCAACTCAAACACTCCAACCAGATTGTCAATGCTACGCTGGTTCTTTACTTTATATATCTATATAACAGTGGCGAAAGGCTATGAACTGAAGAGAATAGACTATTGGAAATAATTTAATACACATTCATGGAAAAATATATTAAAACTAAATCAGTGATTCTGATAGTGTTTAGGCCAGCAGAGAAGGCTTTGCTGGCCCTGACGGCCCACCACTTCTGTATAACTATCAACAGCTCTTTCCTGATCTCACTGGACTTTGCAAGGTTTTGCCCTGTGGCTGCTTTTCTCAGTGCTATAGAAGACTTGTGAATGGACCTGCTGGCCTTTGGCCTGAAGCGCTCTTGGCTTTGGGGACCCAAACATATTCTATCTTCTCAGTGCTATGAATTGTGAATTAGTTTGTTTTTAATGCAACCTGATGAGATCTGACATACAGCTGGATGCTCGCTGAATCTGTCCAGTGTTGGAAAAAGTTACTTTTAAAAGTAATGCATTACAATATTTTAATTCTGATTTCTCTCAAAATGAGGACAGAAGAGCTGCTAGTAAATAAATGGGAAAACAAAGTAACTGGTGTTACTCGTTTGAAAAAGTAACTCAGATATTTTCTTGTAATTTAAAAAGTAATGTGTTACTTTACTAGTTACTTGAATTTTATCTGTCTGTCTATCTGTCATTCTGTCATTAAATGATTTTGACTTTAGATCGTGTTTTGGAGTAATTATGCTATTTAGGATTTTGTTTATGAATTCTGAATTTGAAAGAAAGTCTTCAAGGTCTTTAGTAAAACGACAACATGACAAAACCAAAATGATAAAATCAGACCTTTTCACAGTCAAGGAGTTTTTGGATTTTTTTTTTTTTTTGAATATCAACCTTTAAACTGAATTTTTAAGTGTCTCTCAGTCCAAAAAAAAGAGCCATTATTCCCCTGCTGGAACTTTTACAATTTTCTCTGCTGTATTAGCGGCTTCGCTCAGACCTCACGTCTCCTTGGTATCACTAGTGCCAGATTGCCTAGCTTGATTGAATGTACTTTCACTTGCCATTTTATACCTTTTCGTGCTCCTTTCCCTCATCAATGATCCATTTCTGTTCCCCACATCTCTTCTGCCTGTGCTTTGTTGTTTTCCATTTGAGTGTCTAGCACATTTGTATTCACTCCGCAACTCCACCAACATGACTGCCTTGAGGTTTATGGATACATTATCTTCTGTCAGTGCTAGACACTTCATTTAAACCTTGAAACCACTTGCTGTTCAAGGTGGTGTTACCTTGAATCCCTCTGTGGCCTCTTAATTTTTTTTGGGAAATCAAATCAATGTATTTCTTATAGTTGTTGCATAATTAGTTGGGATTAATATTTTAACATAAAATGATTTAATAGTCACCTTTCTATGTCTCAGTAGTTATTCAGTGAACTTGATTTTGTACACAAAGGATTAACAAAGCCATTTGCAGCAAATGCATACTTTATCATCACTGTTAAAAATAGCATTATTGTGCTTATTACCCAAGTGGCTAGCTGTTATATTCTGCTAGTTGACAACTTTAGCTAATACTTAACCATGCTTTTCCATTTAGCATCTCACCATGGGACCACTTCAATGGCGTACCGTCACATTACATCGTCCAAACCAAGTCTTCAGCCATAAATCACGATAAAGTGATGATAAGGGTGGAAGAGGCTTGTTTAGTGCCTCTGAGCTTTCACCGGATGAAAAACTAAGAAGAACAGATATACTGGAAGAACATACCTATAGTACAATGGGAAGAAGAAGAAGAAGTTTTAAAAAGTTTTAAAACAAGTTTTAATATGCACCCTTAAGGTACTACTATGAACGTTCAGAGGCAAATAAGGTACAAAGATGTCTTTTTAACGGTATTTCCCCAGTGACAAACTGTTGTACCCCTATTATTAATATCTTAGAGTAATTATGTACCCTTAAGGTAAAAATATGCACCGTTTAAGGAAAAATAAGGTACAAATATTTCCCTATAAGGGTACTGCCATAGTGACAAGCTGTTGTACCCCTATAGAGTGCATACTAGTAAGAACTTCGTTCATCTTCAGAACACAAATTAAGATATTTTTGATGAAATCCAAAAGCTTTCTGACCCTCCATAGACAGCAACTCAGCTATCACATTCAAAGCCCAAAGGTAGTATTAAGGGCATTTTTTTTAATAGTCCATGTGACATCAGTGGTTCAACCTTAATTCTATGAATGCTGGCTCCTGCGTCAGCAGCACCACACGCATGCATCTCTCATGAAGAAAAAGGAAAGGAAAGGACATGACATATGGCCAAGTATGGTGTCGCATACTTGGAATTTGTGCTCTGCATTTAACCCATCCAAGTGCACAAGTCAAGTCAAGTCACCTTTATTTATATTGTGCTTTTAACAATACAGATTGTGTCAAAGCAGCGTTACAGTATCAAATAGGAAAATAGTGAGTCAATAATGCAAAAGGACAATAGTAAACACTCAATTTCCAGTTAAAGGCAGTTCATCATTGAATTCAGTGATGTCATCATCCAGCTCAGTTCAGATTAAATAGTATCTGTGCAATCAAGTCGACAATATCGCTGGAAATTAAAAGTCCCCAACTAAGCAAGCCAGAGGCGACAGCAGCAAGGAACCAAAACTCCATCGGTGACAGAATGGAGAAAAAAACCTTGGGAGAAACCAGGCTCAGTCAGTGGGCCAGTTCTCCTCCGGCCAGACAAACCAGCAGTTTGTTCCATGCTGCAGCAAAGTCAGATTGTGCAGGGGACTCATCTGGTTCCGTGGTCTTGTCCCGATGGCCGTCTAGGTGACGAGGTCTTCACTGGGGATCTGTCTTTGGGGCTCATCTAGTTGTCCTGGTCTCCACTGACATTCAGGGCTGTCAAGGGCGTCTCTAGGTGCTGATCCACCATCTGGTCTGGATAATGGCACAGCAGTGAATAGTGAACACACACAGTGGGCAGCCATTTTTTGCTGCGGCGCCCGTGGAGCAGTTGGGGGTTTGGTATATATATGATCTTTCAAATTATATATGTGATTTTATTTTATTACTTATTTTATACAAAGTCTTAGTATTTTGACATTTTTCGGTAGTGTTCCTTAACTTGACTTTTTGACTTGACAGATATTTTGTTTTTGCCAATTTTACATTGAGTGATTTAGCTTACAAATGAGTAACATAAAAGTATTTAATTTAATAGCAATTTATTGTAGAACCAAACCCAAAAATACACACAAATCCTTTTTTTGTGATTTGATTGGACCAACTTGTCAACATTAAACTTGCTTTTGCATTTGCATTTGCAGTCCTGTTGCATGCATTCTTGTTCTCTTTATTGCCTTGCTCAAGGGTCTCACCTCAGTTGTGGTATTGAGGGTGGAAGAGATCACTGATCATTCACTCCCGCCAGCTACAATCCCTGCCGGTATCAAGACTCGAACCCGCGACCTTGGGTTACAAGTCAGATTCTCTAACCATTAGATCATGGGGGTTTTGCAAGTGTCTTGTGCAATATTTTGTGAATAAGTTAAATTTTAAGAGTAATTAAAAAAGTAATGTTACTTTAATAGTTATTTGGAAAAGTAATCTGATTAAATAACTTGCATTACTTGTAATGCGTTACCCCCAACACACTATCTGTCTGTCTGTCTGTCTGTCAACATTAAACTTGCTTTTGCATTTGTATTTGCAGTCCTGTTGCATGCATTCTTGTTCTCTTTATCGATTGTTTTCTGTCTTTTTGTAGATCCTTTTGAGGCGTTCATCATTTTTTCCATCAGACACGAAATTCGCCGAATCAACCTGCAAAGGGGCGACTACAGCCTGTTAGTCCCCGGGCTCAGGAACACCATTGCTTTGGATTTCCATTTCAGCCAGAGCCTGCTGTATTGGACCGATGTTGTAGAGGACAAAATTTACCGTGGGAAGCTGTCAGAGGGCGGCGGTATGATTCACAATTTTTTACATAGTTTATGACGATATTAATATTTATGACTTTATTATATCATACAGGCTATAATATGATTCAGTGGAATTTACAGTGCAGTGATTCTTGAGTACTGGGACAGAAAACTGCAGAACTACAGACAAAAAAGTTTGTGTAAAGGAATTATTTTGGATGAACGCACTTTTAGGTGCAACCTCCTGCTTCTCCCATTTTCTGACAAAACATGTTTTCCTTGCCTGTCACTCCAGTGCTGGTACAAACATGAAGAATGTGTCAAAATATTTTATAAGTATTGTCAAATCTAACATTTATGTCTGTCTGTCTGTCTGTCTGTCTGTCTGTCTATCTGTCTGTCTGTCTGTCTGTCTGTCTGTCTGTCTGTCTGTCTTAGGTGTTCATTCAAACAACAACATGACAAAACCAAGACGATAAAATCAGACCTTTTAAAACAGTCAAAGAGTTTTTGGAATATCAGTCTTTAAACTGAACTTTAGTTCTCTTCGACTCATTGCATAAAAACGGTGCTTATTCGTGCGTGTTTTTTATATTCCAATTTTGCGCATAATTTAAGTAGCTGGATGGAAACCCAGCTAATGCATCTTTTAGGGTTAAATATGGTACAAATATGTTCCTGCTGCCCTGATGGCAAGCTGTTGAGCCCCAAAAGATGCATATTAGTACCTTGGAGTATTAATACATAGACTACTTTAAGGTACTACTATGAATTGTTTAGAGGTAAATAAGATACAAAGATGTATCTTTAAAGGTACTTTCACAGTGATAAGCTGTTGTACCCCTAAAGGTACAACTTTTGCGCTTTTGTCTGAGAGTGCAAACAGGCCTGCATTTGTGAGAAACTATGGAGCGAAATAAAATCTCATTGAGTCAGTCCACTCTAGCTGACCAAGAAGTGCATAGCCTGGAGGACCAAACGGGAAGCACCAAACTCTTTCTTGTTTGTTCTTTCTCTGCGATTTCCTTCACTCCTCCAAGCGTCTACGGCTCCCTGCTGTTCGGCTCGTCTTTTGTGGAATTCCATCAGTTCTTGCCGCCTCAGTGTTTGGACCCTGCTATTTTCTTCTGAAGTGACAGTTTCTTCCGTTCTTTCTGACAATAACCCACTTCGCCTGCTTTTTCTCTCCATCTCAGATGAGTGTTTGGTGAGGAAGGGCGGCTGCAGTCACGAGTGCTTGGTGGCGCCGGGTAAAGGGGTCGTGTGTTCCTGTCCGGTGGGGTTCCAGCTGGGTTCGGACAGCCGGACATGCGAGGTCCTGGATTACTGTACCAAGCACCTACGCTGCAGCCAAGTGTGCGAACAGCACAAGAATACTGTGAAATGCTCCTGCTATCCAGGCTGGAGTCTTGGACCTGATGGAGACAGCTGTTATAGTACAGGTAAACAGTGGCCTGTTGATTATTTGTTGGCCTTTGGTTAACAATCTGAATTTTTCGCATGAAAATTGGAGGTTCAATCCCAAATAGGGTTAAAACCAGATTACAGTCCAAACTGCAAGGCAATTAACCTCAGGGGAATCAAATGACCCTGAATTATAATGTAAATAACACGGATAAATGGCTGCAAGATGACAAGCAAGTTAATTTAGTTTAACATTTATTCATATTTACTTTCAGAGAGAGGATTGTGCAGAGAATTTACAGAGAGCAAAAGTGAGTTGGGAAATATCAGAGTTCAGACTCCAGTGCACTTGATGGGAGTGGAGAGGAAGATGTGCTAAGAACATTAAGTAACATGTTTTAATAAAAAGAAAAACAAGCTTTTACTGAAACACACGGCTCAGTTTTCAGAGCTGTCAAAATGCTTTTAGTTTTTGTCCGAACTGAAACGGCCAGCTATAATTCATATTGCAATCCATATACGGTTTTCTCGCCAGTCTCAGACTTGTAGAGATGCCAGCCACATAGTACCACATAGCATTTTTGGTTTATTTATAGCTTGGAATGTGCTAACAATTTATTCTATTATTATTATTATTATTATTATTATTTCTATCTATCTATCTATCTATCTATCTATCTATCTGTCCGTCCGTCTATTGATATATAGATGATAGATATAGACATATAGATATACAGATATAACTTAAAATTACTTTTTACAATTATGAAATTTATTAATTTTAAATATTATTAACTTATTTATTTTTCATTATTTATTACTATTTTATTTTAATTTAATTTTATTTTATTTTATTAATATTTAAGGAGTGACTAATACCCCTTTATTTTAATCAAATAAAATAAAAAAATCTAATTAATTGGCACTATCTATCTATCTATCTATCTATCTATCTATCTATCTATCTGTCCGTCCGTCTATTGATATATAGATGATAGATATAGACATATAGATATACAGATATAACTTAAAATTACTTTTTACAATTATGAAATTTATTAATTTTAAATATTATTAACTTATTTATTTTTCATTATTTATTACTATTTTATTTTAATTTTATTTTATTTTATTTTATTAATATTTAAGGAGTGACTAATACCCCTTTATTTTAATCAAATAAAATAAAAAAATCTAATTAATTGGCACATATATGTTATGTTATGTATATGTTGTATTACATTCAGATCAACGATCAAAGTACAAATATTGCTATTGCTATTTTCAAAATTATTAGCAGGTAAACGTTTTGTTCCATGCCTCATGAATCATGATTCTTCTTGTCATGATTCTTGTTCAGAATATTGTGTTTTATATATAAGGTTTTTTTTTAGCTCTGTTTTACACTTAAAAAGCAAAGTCAGTCTACCAACTGTGTTAATAATTCAGCTTCGAAACGTGTGAGAAGTAATTTGCACTCAGATCACAAAGGAACTGATGAGTAGATATTGAGAAAGAGAGAGAGAAAAAAAGTAGGAACCACTTTGTCTTGAGGGTTCGTTTCTTTTCACAGACTTCATAGGGTACCAAATTACACTCGCCAAATGCCAAATTCAACTAATCTTGAGCTTGACTGACCAGCTAACAATCTAACAACCATTTATTTCCATTAAAATAACCCAGTTTGTTGTCCCGGCAGGTGTTTCGTCAATCGAGGTGGTGGTCCAGCATGGTCTAGCCACTCCAGAAGGCCTTGCCGTTGATTGGATAGCGGGAAATCTCTACTGGATCGACAGCAACCTGGACCAGATTGAGGTGTCCAAGCTGAATGGCGAATTACGAACCACCCTCATCGCCGGGGGTATGGAACACCCTCGGGCCATCGCCGTGGACCCCGGCCAGGGGTGCGTTCTTCACTCCAGTTGAAGAAAATAACAGCAAAGCACCAGTTTTCCAATTACTTCATAGTTTTAATGAACAACTTCAGTGATTGATAGCTCCATTCGGTGGATTGCGAATCGTAATGAACCCGTCTAATCACCCATAAAGGAGTTTTTAAATGATTTCCAGAAGGGATATTACCATGAAATTGGGCCATTACACATTCTTACCTGTTTTGTAATTGTGCTAATGCTAATGCTTTTAATGAGGATGTGGTTTGCAAGTAACCCTTGTTTGAAAGTCGTTTAAGGTAGATTTTTACATTGAGTTTTGTCGTCAACAGTGCCTTGTTCTGGACCGACTGGGATGCCACGTTTCCTCGCATTGAAGGCGCTTCCATGAGCGGGAAACGGCGACATGTGGTTTTCAAGGACATGGACTCCGGCGCTTGGCCCAACGGACTGACCTTGGACCACATGGAGAGCAGGATAGTATGGACAGACGCCCGGTAAGAAGCACGCAAGCACTCTTCTGTTGGGTTTTTGATGTTTTTCGCAAGACAAGACTGTTAGGGAGTGTTTTGGATGGAAACTAGAAGGTGGAATTGGGAACAAGCCCAGTCATTGGTAACAAATTCAAGCGCTCATTTTGTTGAATGATTGATGTGTTTTTTGTACCGGTTCAAATTCAAGATCCATCTCCGCTGGCGACGAAATGACAGGCCGACAGAGATATGCTATTACTATTGATTATAATTTTGCCCATCAAGTTTTTTTTTTTTCTTTTTGTATTTTACAAAGCAGCAGCATAGCAATTTTGCTGTCTTGACACATTCATAAACTCTCATCTTGCATTTCTCACAGCACTAGTTCAATTCCTCTTGTGCCCGGTGGCTCCAAATGTGCCCAAATTAATATTCAGATAATGAGATTCTTGGACTTAATGAAGAATCTGATCAATTCTCGGCTTTCAATTGCCTCATTTTTGTCTCTGCTATATTCAGATCACACATCTGTCTTTCTCTCTTGGTCTGTCAACAGCATTTCTTTCTTCTGTCTTTTTCTCTGAACAGTATCTTGATATTAAAGCATCAGTGAACACTAAACTCCTTCTTACAGACTGAATACTCCCATTTATTTAGAGTACACTGTCTTTGTAAAAAAAGAAAAGAAAAGTGGAATATGTTTAATATATATATTTTTATTTTACTTTAAGCAAACTTTCTTTTGTTTTTATTGATGGAAAGCTGGGACAGATTTGAGGTCAACAACAGCTGTTTACAACCGTTTTATTTTGTGCAACTTAAATTTAATTTCAATTGAAATTTTGATTCACTTTGTTTCGGTTCAGTTGATGTTACTCATTTTGATTAGTTTTGTTTTGATTTGAATCAACTTCATTTCAGTTAATTGATATAATTTAGAGTTACTGTAAACAAGATTTATTAAGTTTGATTTGATTCAGTTCAATTCTAGTTGATGTGACTCTACTCAGCTCAGTTAAATGAATTGTTATAATTTAAAATTAAGCTTGATTTAGTAAGTTTGATTTAATATAGGCCTAGCTCAGGTTGTTTTGATTTGATTTGATATGATTTGAAACTGTTTGGTTGAGGTTAAGCCCCGTTCAGACTACACAAATTTTTGTCGGTTATAACAGTCACTGTTGCCAGATTACATGATTTTGGCTCCTAAAATCTTGTAGTGTCGTGAACAAGAAACATGTCAGATTGCACGATTCTACCCAAACATTCTTCTCTTGCTGAACAATCCCCACGTCACCCTACATCAAGCAAATCGGGCCAAAATCGGGCTAAAATCGTGTAGTCTGAACTGGGCTTTAGTTAATTGTTGTAGTTCTGCTTTAAACTGGATTAACTTTGATTCGATTCAGTTCAAGTTTTTTGGGGGAGTTGATTTGATTCACTTTGATTTAATTTAGATTTGAAACAACTTGGTTCAGTTCATTTAATTGAATTGTTGTAATTCCAAGGTAAACTATTACATGTATTACATTTACATAATCGTGCCGCACCGTACCAGGCTCACGTGGAAATACAACTGACAGTTCTTGGAATAGTTCGACCCGATAGTGGAAAAGCGGCTAATGAGTTGGTTCAGTACAATTAAATGTATTTTCTTAATTCTGAGCTAAACCATATTAAGTTTGATTTGATTCTGTTCAATTCAGGTTGATTTGATTCGATCAAGTTCAGTTAATTGATTTGTTATAAATCAGAGTAAAACAAAATGTATTAAGTTTGATTTTATTCAATTCAGGCTGATTTGATTTTAATTAATTTGGTTTAAAATAACTTGGTTCAGTTAATTGAATTGTTTAAATTCCAAACTAAACCAGATTAAGTTTGATTTGATGTAGTTTGATTCAGGTTGATTTGACTCGTTCAGTTCAGTTCAGTTAATTGATTTGTTATAAATCAGAGTAAAACTAAATTTATTAAGTTCGATTTTATTAAATTCAGGTTGATTTGGTTTGAAACGACTTGGCTCAGTTCGGTTAATTGGATTGTCGAAATTCAGAATTAAATGAGATCAAGTTTGATTTGATTCAGTTTGATTCAGGTTGATTTGACTTGACTCAGTCAAACAAGCTCAAGTTTAATTTAATTCAGTTCATGTTGATTGGATTTGATTTCAAACCACTTGGTTAATTTTAGTTAATACAATTTTCATAATTCAGAATTAAACAAGATCAAGTCTAATTTGAGTTTCAGTTTAGGTTTTTTTTTTTTTTCAACTTGAATTGACTAAACTGTACAGTTTATTCAATTGAACTGAGGTAATTTATAATTAAATACGATTTATTAAGTTTGATTTGATCCTAGTTAAGTCGGATCAAATCAACCTGAACTAAATTGAATCACACTTAATGAATCTTGTTTAATTCATTCAGTTAATTAAATATTATGTAATTCAAAGTAAAACAAGATTGAATATCCTCGAATTTGATTCGATTCAGTTTGTTGAAAGTGCATGACAGTGTTTATTAAGAAAGTGAATAAGGTCAGTTTTGATTTCATGTGACTTTAAAATGCTCTGATAATGATTAAGAAAATGATTTATCCCTCCTCAGATCTGACGCTATATACTCTGCTCTATATGACGGAACGGGGATGATTGAAATTCTCAGAGGCCACGAGTTCCTCTCTCACCCCTTCGCCGTGTCTCTCTTTGGTGGGAGTGTTTATTGGACTGACTGGAGGACCAACACTTTGACAAAAGCCAACAAATGGACCGGGGCCAATGTAACTGTGATCCAAAAAACCAGCGCCCAACCCTTCGATCTGGAGATATACCATCCTAGCAGGCAGCCACAGAGTAAGTTACCATCTCGCTGTCTTTCAAAACTGTCTAGAGAGACTTTGAAAGAGATGATGATTTGAAGGATCCAACAGAACATAATGAGAGAAATCTCTAGATTGAGCTTAGTTGTCATGTTGGATTAACAGCGTACAATGACCCAGTTTTGGCACATTCCCATTTCTCACTAGAAGATTTTAGGGACTAATTGGCTGCAAAGCTGTCTCGTCAAGAACTCCCTTGATTCCCATCAAGAATTCCCATCATTTCTGAAACATGAAACAGACAGTCAAACACTACAAGGTCACATTTCTTTTCTGAATTTCCTACTTGAAACCAGGGGCGGTTCTAGGGGGTGGCCAGTGCCCCCCTGTCAACAAGCTTGGCCCCCCCCTTTGGCCCCCCTAAATTTGGAATCATATCACACCAAACAATTTTGGGTGAAATGCGCAGTTTGTCCTGTAAACTATATATTAAAAAAAGAAAAAGACCAGCTGCTAAATTCAAATCTGCATTTGCTGGCTGGCACAGAGCCAGAGACACACGTTTTTAAAGCACTGCGCATTATAACCAATCCTATACTATTATGTTGAGTTTATGAATACAATGGACTATAGTACATCGATGACGCGTCGGTGTCTATTAAATTATTCATGAGACTGCGTGTTCTTATCCTATGAGAAGATGCTTCGCTTAATTATTCACAATAGCATGTGTTGATTTGCTATGACAGACATTTCTGACTGTGAGATGACATCGCGCACATTAACTGAGAGAAATGTTTGTTTTTGCTTTGTAATAAGAGTTTGGCACAAACGCGATTCATTCACTTGGTGAGCATAACCGTTTTTACAGCTCTGTGACAACCCGTCAAAAGGCTTATATAAACGCCGCAGAATAAGCCTTAAAAGTTCTCAGAGGTGCAACAGTGCGTTCATATACATGTTTTCGATGCAGAGTGCAAATGGCTGTGCATTTATTTGTGTTTTTAACTCGATGGGAGCGAAATGAAACTGTCTGAATGCGAAGCTGTAATTGTTGTCTGTCTCCCTTCTTCCCCCTCCTCTCCGCTGCGCACCACGCCCACTTTTTTAGCGTTTTTTAAAATTGTGGTGAGAACCAACCAGTGCTGAAACGGGGGGTTTCATGACCCTTTAAACTCGCTGGACTGAAGTGAAAATGTTCTTTGATAATGTAAAGTTTCTTTGCTGTCTTTTTGTACAATGAAAGTGTTACAGGCTAATTAGTAACTTACAATGTTTTTATTAAATTCACATTAAATACAATGTCAGTCGTATTAAACATATTTTATGGTATGACACCCATATCTGGTACTTAAGTAAAAAGACAGATTTTTATGCAAAGTTAATAGATTACACTATTATGCTGTTTTGCACCCATTATAGATAAACTAACATAATCTGTAAAGGTGCAAAATGAATTTACTTACACATATTTGAGAATCGAGATATTTCATGATATATTTTGGAAATATTTCCAAAATTAATAAAACCCCTGCTGAAAAAAACAATAGACACCATTACAAAATTTGTAATGGCTTTATTGGTTATAATGGGACTTGTATTGGTTTTGCTGGAAACTTTAATGGACCCTGTTGGTCTCTACTGGTAATTGGTTGCCTTCTATAGGTGGCTTGTTAAAACCAATAAATCCTAATGGAATATGTCCCAAAATACACTACAGAAAACCATTTGTTAATGGTTTTAATGGATAAAAGTTGATGGTTTGTAATGGTTATTTGTAGTGGAAATCATTAAAATTTTCTGTGATGGTTTTATAGTTTTTTTCATTAGGGACATAAGCCTATATCAGTTATACAGTGGTATTGTGGCTGCTGTGTCACATGACAAGCATGAGAGTCCCCCACCATTCACCCGTGCCCCTCAAAAATAATAAGTGCATGATGCCCCTGACACTACAATACAAAATTATTTGTCAGATAAATGAAACATGATGAAACATTCATTTTAGTTGAAATTGTTATAGATTACTTGATTGCAGATTACTAGAGATTGCAGTGATACATGACATGGCGAAAAATGACTGAATGAATAATAGTTAAAGTAGGTTAAGATGAATTTTAAAATTGTGCCCCCTAAAAGCACAAGTGGCCCCTGTCTGGCCCCCCCAGT